GTTGAAGGCTTTGCTTATCTGCCTTCAAATGTTCCTGTTTTCTGATAAATATATTTAAAACTATAATTTTCCCTCTAAATACTGCTTTGGCTGTGCCTCAAGAATTTTGACATATGATGATCTCTTTAACCTCAGGATTTGGGGGACTATTTTTGGTTTTTTGTTTATTGATTTCCAGGAAATGGAAAATTTTTAACTCTTTCATTGTTATTGATTTTTAACTTTATTGCATTATGATCATAGAACATAGTCTGCATGATATTGACTCTGAATAAATTAGACCTTTTTTATGGCCTAGATCATGGCCAATTTTAATAAACATACAATATATGATGAAAATGTACCTATTCTCTTTGTTGGATATAAAATGTGATATGTATCTATTTTTTCAGGTTCATTAGTCATGTTATTTAATTCTTCTATATCTTTGCTTATTTTAAGTCTGCTCTGTCAGTTGGTGTCCAAGAGAGCTGTATTAAAATTTCCAACTACCCTACTCAAAATTGTAGTCCAAGCACTTAGTACAAGTACTAGATGAATATAGTCTGCAGTTGAATAAATGAAGATACTGCCATGACTTTCTTGATACTTAGGATTCACCTTATCAGAAATACATCATTTAGAACCCAAATCAACTTACCTTTAGTTCTGACTCACCATGCTCTTGGCCACTCCAGTGCCCCTCCACCAGAGAAGAAGGGTGACAGGATGGACAGAGACCAAGACTTTGGAAAGGGTCCATGCAAGAGACGGATGCTGATGCTTAAACGTCATTAACTTTGTGACAAGTCTTTCATTTGTCAAAGTGCTTTCTCATGCATTGGCAATTTGGTTTTAGCTTCATGCCAGGACCACCAGGGAAGTAAGTCAGGTTTTACCATCCCAGATCTACAGCTGAGAATCTGAAGGACTAGATTTACTCTAGGGTCACACAGTTAATGACAGAGAAGCCCAGTTCAGCGCTCTTTTCACAGCAGTAGGCAGAAGCCCAATCACTGCTTTAAAAAAGTAAAGGGCATCTTATTCTCAAATGTGTTTGAGAATTTGGTGATTTCCCCTTCAATCATTTGTTATCACAAGAGCACGCTAAATTGATAACAAGCCTCGACAAGAATATGGAGAAAACTGCTGATGGGAAAGTAAAATGATGCAGCTGCCATGGAAAACAGTCTGAGTCAACATATGACCCAGCAATTCCACTCCTAGGTATATACCCAAGAGCATTGAAAACACATGTTCACACAAAAACTTACACATAAATGTTCATAGCAGCATTATTCATAATTGCTAAAAATTGGAAACAACCCAAATGTCCATCAATTGATGAATGCATAAAGGAAATGTGGTATAGCCATACAATGGAATATTGTTCAAACATAAAAAGGAATGAAGAACGAATATATCCTACAACATGCATGAACTCTGAAAGCATCATGCTCAGTGAAAGAAGGTGGACACAAAAGGCCGCATATTGTATGATTCCATTTATATGAAATTCTTGGAGTAGGCAAATCCATAGAGATAGAAAGTAAATAAGTGGTTTTCAGGGGCTGGGGGGAGGGAAAAATGAGTGACTGCTAATGGGTATGGATTTCTCTTCTGGGTAACAAAAACATTCTGGAATTAGATAGTGACAATAGTTGCGCAATCTTGTGTTTATACTAAAAATCAGTGAACTGTGCACTTCAGAAGGGTGAATTTTATGGCATATGAATCATATCTCAACTTTGAAAAAGGATGTGGCAAATCAGGAATCATAGATCTCTGCTCTAAATCCCAATAAAAAATTCCCAGGAAGCAGGACAGCATACAAGAGTATGGACTTTGGAAAAAAGACAGAGCATATTCATATCCTACACTTCCAATTATGACCTCCAGAACTTGAGCATTTTATTTAATTTCTCTAAGCATCAGTTGTCTCACCTGTAGAATGAAGGCAATATTACCTACTTCATGAGCTGGGTGTGAGAAGTAAATAATAATAACAACTGTCTACGTAAGACAGCTGATACTATGCCCCACCTTTAATAGGTATCAATAAATGACTGCTACTATCATGATTACTTTTATTATTACTATTATATTATTTTCACATCTTTCAGGTCTTTCATATCCAATAATTTTTAGTACCATTCTTATTCAACACTTCTAATAACAGATATTGAATGTTTCCAGTCTCTCTGAGCACAATCTTGGCGAATTGTTTGGAAGATACGGCTTAAAGGAAAATCTATTTTTCATATACTGAGATATCTACCCTGCCTGTTCCGTGAAGTGAATGATAATTAGCAAAACAGCTGCTGAAAAAGGTCATGTGAATTCATTCAATACGTTGTTACAAATAGTAGAAATGCTTGCCCGTTGCGCCCCCTTGTGGAAGCTCAGGGGAACTACCTTTATTCTAGCAATTCGAGCGTGGTCCTCAGATCGCCAGCATGAGCATCGCGTTAAAGCTTATTAGAAATGTAGATCTCGGATTCCATCCCCTAATCAGAATCTGCATTTTAACACTCTCCCTGGGTGATTTGTACGCACATTAAGTTTGAGAAGTACTGGCTTAGACCATATAGTAAACACATTTTTTTTAATTCAGGAGATATTTACTGAGTGTTAAGTACTGTACCAGAAACTGGAAGTACTAAGGTAAATATAATTGTTTCCATAAAGAAATTTGGGATTAAAATCTGTAATAATGGTGCACCTTAAAAAAGTGAATTTTATGGTATGCAAATTATATCTTAATTTAAAAAAAAAATAAAAGTGTGGCAAATCAAGAGCCATAGATCACTGCTCTGAAACCCAGTAGAAAAACTCCAAAGATGCAGCACAGCACACAGGAGTGTGGATTTGGAAACTAATGAATCATGTTCAGATTCTACCCTTCTGATGCAATGAACACTCTAGTGGAGTCCTGCACAAAGTACAATGGTACACGGAGAAGAGAACAACTGACTGTGTGGTGGGAAGAAGTAAGGAAAGCTTCTAGGAGGAGGTGGCATTCAGATGGACTTTAATAAGTAAGAGTTCACCAGGTGGGGAACGTTGGGCAAGGCATTCCAGTCTGAAGGAATGCCGTGAGTAAAAGCACATACTTTCAAAGGCGTGTGATGTGTTAGAATGCCAAGTCCTTGGTGTGTCTCTGATGGGCTGAGTGTTGACAAAAAGGCAGTTCCATCAGCAGGATTGCATTATGGGAAATTCTCACTTTCTAACCGATACATTTCTATAAGTTTGAAAAGTTAACGATGAAACAAGACAAGAATAAGAAATGTCTAAAATTAATTGTCTAAACTTCCACCTTAACCCTTAAAAGGAAAGCAAATTACATGCAAAGTAAGAAGAAGGAAGGAAATAATAAAAATAAGAGCAGAAATTAATAAAATAGAACATGGTCAAACAAAAAAAAATCATTTACACCAAAATCTAATTCCCTGAAAAAAAATCAATAAAATTGACAATCTTGTACTCATACTGATCGTGTTAAAAAGAAAGCAAATACAATTACCAATATCAGAAATCGGGGGACAATACTATCAAGTTTACAGTCATTAAACGGACCACCAGAGAATATTATGAAAAGCTTTTTGCCAACAAATTCAACTTAGATGAAATAGACAAATGTTTTGAAAGATACAAACTAACAAAACTGTCTCAAGAAGAAATAGGAAATCTGACATCCCAATATCTGTTAAAGAAAATAAATTTGTAATTTAAAATCTTCTGCCCAAAAAACCTCCGAACTCAGATATCTTTACTGATAAAAGCTATCAAGCACTTGAGGAGGAAATGGTATCAATTCTACACAAACTCTTCCGGAGAAGAGAGGAAGAGAGCACACTTTCTGGCTCATTTTATGAGACCAATATCACCTCGATACCCAAACCAGGCAAACATATTGCAAGAAATGAAAAACTGAGCCAAATATGCTTCATAATATAAACACAACAAACACAAAAATAACAAATTATTAGCAAGTTGAGTCAGGCAATATATAAAAAGGATAATACATCATGGACCAAGTGTTTGAATAATTAACGTTTGAAATTCAATTATTGTGTTTCACCACACTAACAGATCAAAGGAGAAAACCCATATGATTTGCCTAATAGACGCAAAAAAAAGCATTTGACAAAACTTAACATGAATTTCTTATAAAGTTAGGCATACATGTACCACAGACTCAGAAATTCCACTCCTGGCTGTTACCCAAGAGAAATTAAAACATACGTCTACACAGAGACTAGGATGCAAATCTTCACAATAATTTTATTCATAGTAATCAAAAACTGGAAACAATGCAAATGTCCATTAACAGGGGAATGGATAAACAAACTGAAGATGTCAAAGGGGACTGTTAGGCACCAACTCAAAGACAAAAGCGGGAGTGTTACTCAGGCAGTCAGAGAGGCCACGGCGGGTGCGACACCGGCTATACAATTAAAAACTACTCGGCAATCACAAAAACGACCTATGATCCAGCAATATCACGGATGAAGCTCAGCATTCTTACGCTGGGTGAAAAGAGCCAGACATGAAAGAGTACATACTGTATGATTTCATTTATATGAAACTATAAAAAAGACAAATCTACGGGCCGGCCCAGTGGCATAGCGGTTAAGTTCATGTGCTCTGCTTGGGCAGCCCAGGGTTCACAGGTTCAGATCTCAGGCACAGATTTAACACTGCTCATCAAGCCATGCTGTGGCAGTGCCCCACATAAAATAGAGGAAGATTGGAACAGATGTTAGCTCAGTGACAATCTTCCTCAAGCAAAAAGAGGAAGCAGATGTTTGCTCAGGACCAATCTTCCTCGCATGAAAAAAAATCTAATCTATCGTGACAGAAAGCAGATCAGTGGATGCCTACGACCAGGAGAGGGTGGAAAATTAACTGAGAAAGGACACAGGGAACATTTTAGGATGGAGGAAATGTTCTATATTGTATTATTTAGTATTGATTATGATACTGAGTATACAGGTATATAAATATTTCAAAAGTCACCAAATGTACACATGAGATGGGTGTGTTTTAATACGCAAATTATACCTTAATAAAATTGATTTTTTTTATGATTGTACATCAATGGGGGTTTTCATTGGAATAAAAGAAACCGTCTTTGGAGGGTCTTTCAGTTTCTGGGTATGAATTTGAACTGGACTGTGGAATGTTCCGGCATCACTGGTGAGGTCAGAGAAGCCTGTCTGCTGGTGACAGTTTGAATCCTAACAGTCATAACGGTGCAGTGGGCACAGACAGTGCTGCCAATGTTGCCAATTCAGTGAAAACGCGGAGGTCTCAAAGCACCGGGGGGGGCTTTGACTTACTCTCTTCTACCTGGGTCAATCACAGCAGTTCCCTGGGAAGCAAGATCTGCCTGGCTACGTGGACAAGGGGATCGAGTCTCCAGCCGCTTCTCCAGGAGCCCCTTGGTGCTGTTGCTGGCCCTGAGGTGAAGAGGGATGAAAGAAGCATCCAGAGGCAAGGAGAATATAACTTTAAGAGATGAGAGTCTCGTCTGGGGGCACGAAGCTCTCTAACGAGGACTGTCTTTCTTAGAGAGGAAGTAGGAGAGAGAACCCAGGGTTCATGGTCAGGATAAAGGGCGGAGAGTCACCAGCACTAGCATCTTTAATGTCTTTCCTATGGGACCCAAATGGCCTGAGGAAGACAGACTCTACGTGTCCCGGTTCCTACCTTCTCAGAGCTTCCCTCCCGAAGCTGCCTGGGCCTCGCCTCTTGCCTAGATTACTCTCTTCAGAGATGGAGATGCTGGTTCATCTGGGTTCTTCTCTATTCTTTCCCATTTCCAGTTCTTGACAGCCACCTGTGGTCATTGGCGTTAGAAGGTGACCTTAGAATCAGTTTCACTCCCCCATTTGACTGGGAAGGAAAGTAGATTCCTGGGAGGTGACCTCCAAATTATGAATTACAGAACTTTAGATCCAAACAGACCTGAGTTCAAAGGCCACTTCTCCATTTACTATCTGGATCAAAGTGGGCAATCCCTGAAGGTCTTTGAGCCTCCTTTGCCTTAACTGTAAAATAGATATGATGACTCCTACATCATGGGCTCGTCCCAAGGACTACACAAGACAGTGTGCACACAGCACCTGAAGGGATGTACCACATGGTAGGCCATCAAAATGGTCTTCGGGGGAGGGGGAGTGTTGCATCTTGCTGGGCAGATTGCCACCCTGGACAGACCTCACTGCCTTCTCCAGCCTTTGCTTCTGAATAGATGGACTTCAGTGTTCATTCTGGCTCATTGCTCATTAGTATCTTTTTCCTTCTTTCTTCTCTCTTCTTTTTTAAGTAGAGGGATCTGAGCACTTAGTGGTAGTTTTCTGACCCACCAATACCCTTTTCCAGCTTTATAACCGATGGTGGTAGTGGTGGTGGCAGAGGTGGCAATAACAGCCACAGTAATAATATCGTGGACATCCACTCCTGCCTACACAGGCAGCCTTCGCCCTCTTTAGAAGTAGCAGAGGGCAGGGAATGCAACAAGGCAGCAGATGGCCACAGTCTCTGGCAAGCTAAGCCCACCCACCGAAACCACTGGAGCAGTGACTGCCACCATCTCCCAATCCAGAGCGTTCTTCCCACCATGGCGTGGGCAAGGACAGACTAGGGGATGAGGTTTATTGTCACAGGTCTCAGCCATGCCTGGAAGAGAAACTATAGGCAGGTACATGTGCAAGAGGCTTTCAGACTCCAGACCCAAGACATCCATTTCTCTAGAGCTCACACTCTTCCCGTGTAACCTCAGTAACAGGCCCCTTCCAACCCCTTCCAACGCCACCCAACCCTTCCTCCAGGTGGGGCTCAAGCCTGGAATATTGTTGACTTCATCTGTACCGGCTTTGCTCATCAAGACTTCATTGGCATAAATTGGCAACTCAAAACTCGGGCAACCAGAAGGGATGCTCAGGCCATCTGTTCTTAACCAAGACCCCTGGGTCATATTCCACCAGTGTCCTTGGCTCACTTCACTTCTGTGGTCACAAGAAAGCCAGAACTTCACAACCTTCTACCCAAGTACATTTCATGCACTTAACTACTAAAACCTAGTCAATGTCCGTGTTGTGATACCATAGGTTCATCTTATGATTGACACTACTCTTCAAATAACATCAACAATGGCCAACACTGATTGGGCACTTACATTGTCCCAGGAATGGTGCTAAGCGAAATGCATGACCTCACTTCACCCCACAGCATTCTATGAGGCTGTTGTCATTATTATCCCCACTTCACAGATGAGGAAACTGAGGCTCTCCGGCTTTGAGTCACTGGCCCGGCTAGTAAATAATAGAGGAGGAATTTGAACCCAGATCTGTCTGTCGTTATTATTCCCACTCCCACTCTGTCAGCACTGACTATAAAGCAGAGGGAAACCTTTTCTCTTAGCCCCTATGCTGTGGGCACAGCTTTTTGGTGATTGGGACACATGCTGTCCTGTTAAGACACAGTCAGACAAATGTCCTTCTCTGTGTTGACAATGTGGCCCTACCCTTCAGGTCCAAAGAGGAGTCTCAAGAAACAGCTTAACCTGGTAGTAAGTTACTGCCATAGAGAAGAGGAAACTTGTTGGGTTTCACACATTGCCATTTTCGGTCCATCTTTGGTATCCTGATGCATGATGGTGATGATTCTGTTTGCCAGGCGCTGCAACTGGCTGGGCTTTGATCCTGATGGCATCACCCGGTCTCTGAGCCCCGGAGAGTCGTGCTGAGGATCTAGTGGGGCTCTCAGAGTCTTCTGCCTCAACTTTCCTGACCGCGCTGATTCCCCCATTCCCCCAGACAAATCTTGGGGGCTTCCCTGGGGTGCTGGTACGAGCATCAGGGAGAAAAGTCTTGAGTGCTTTCCTGGGAAGAGGCTGCACACCATCTACAGGCCCCCGGAGGCCCCTCTGTGGGGCTGGATTTGCTGGGAGCCGGGAGTGGGTAACAGAGGAGTAGGATTTTATTACAGCGAGACCAATGATGTGCTTCCTTATTCAGAACCAAACGTCCTACTGAATGGTGCAGGGTCAAAATGGAAGCGTTGAGGAAATCCGAGGGAGGCGAGGTGGTGTGAGTTGGGCCGTGGAAAGGGCTTCAGCAGCAAAGAGCTGTAAGCCAAGAGGCGAGATTCAGATGAGAAGGACACGCCTGGAAGAGGACAGATTTTCATCTGATTGTACTGAGTACGGACCAAACGGGAGAGGTTGGAGGTATGATGTGTAGCTGAGGACCCCACGGGAGCCTGAGCATCAGAGCAGAGTGGGCCTGGAATGAGGGAGAGGAGGCGTTGGGGAGCAGAGCCGCGCCGTGAGGGAAGTGGCTTCTGAGGAAGACCAAACTCACAGGCTGTGCTGGGTAGAGAGGAGGCAGAGAGGCTGGCAGCAGGAGTCCACTTAGGAGTCCAATTCCGTCACCCAGTTCCAACAGGTGGGCTTTTCCCCACACCCAGCAATTCTCTGACACCAGCTGGGTGTCCTTCCATTCAATTCAATTCTGACACTTTCTGCCTGAAGATAGCGCCAGATCCTACAGGTTAAGGGCTCAGTCCTCCAGGACTGTCCCCTCCCTGCCTCACTTTAGATGTCAATCTCAAGTCTAGGTTGTCACCTGTGCCTCTAACTGACTGTCTATATACTGGAGGTTCCCTCGACCCCTCCTTGGGTGTGGGTTTGATTAATTTGCTAGAGCGGCTCACAGAACTCAGAGAAACATTTTATTTACTAGATTACTGGTTTATTATAAAACGATATAATAAGGAAGAGCTAGATGGAAGGGTAAGGTACAGGGAAGGGCACGGAGCTTCCATACCCTCTCAAAGCGTGCTACTCTCCCCAAGTTTCCAACCCAGAAGTTCTCTGAACCCCATCCTTTTGGGTTGCTATGGAGGCTTCATTACATAGGCATGACTAATTAAATCATTGGGCTTTGGTGATGGAGGTCAGGGGTGTGGGACTGAAAGTTCCAATCCTCTGATCACCTGGTTGGCTCCCCTGGCAACCAGCCCCCATCCTTAGAAACTTTCCCAAAGTCACCTCATGAGCATAACAAAAGACACCTGGATCACTCTTAACTCTAGGAAATTCCAAGGGTTTGGGGAGCTCTGTGCCAGAAACGGAGTGTAGACCAAATATATATTTCTTACTATAAATCACAATATCACAGGAGGAGGCAATAGCATCATTGTGTCACCTGGTCACCGAGGCCTAACGCAGAATCCAACGCAGATCCCAGCCTTTGGGGACACACTAAAGGTCACCTGCAGGCAATGGAGCCAGAGTTGACTTTTGGGGATTTAAGAGAACGCTGAGCTGTGAAATCTTGTCCTTGCTGAGCCAGGCTGGGAGTTCGCTTTTAGGTTCACAGCGAAAGGCAGGAAAATGAGACTTGACCTTAGGATCTTCCCAGGCTTTCCACTTCTCTTCCCTACCCTCTTCCTGGACTAGCACCTTCACTGATGCCTTAGGGCCTTCAGACCAAAGGCGAGGGGCCTGCAGCAGATCTTTGCGTCCTGCCCTGTGGACAACGCCTGGGAAGCAGGGACCTTTCCCCAGCCTGCGGTGTCACATTTCCTTTTCCTCAAGCAAGACTCACTGGACGTGGATTCCAACACCACTCACCTCCCGTTGTCCCCTAGGGTCTCATTAGAGTTTGCCAGCTCTGAAGACACCTCTCAGAAAAGAAGCCTGCCCAGAACTGAGCATCCTAAGATTGCCGCCTCCTGAGAAAGTCCTTTGAGACACTCTTGGCCACCCAGGAAGCCTCAAGCATCAACGATACAGAAGCCCATTAACTTAGATCTTTCCAGGCGGGAGCCTGTGTCTCGGAAGGAACCCCCTCCCTGCCCGCCTCCGAATCCAAGGGCTTCCTACTTTCCTGACAGTTCCTGGTGGCTCCACCCTGACCTGCAGGTGTGGAGTCTCAGGACTGTGACAGAATAATTTGAAGATGTTTGCTTTAGTGTTCACGGATTTGAATAGGCCTCTGAGAATAGGAGCCAGTCTCTACTGGGCACTGCTGCCTACAGGCACGATTCTTTCTACTTACCTCCCCTGGGTGAGGTCATTTAACACTCCCAGCAAGGCTGAGATGGGAGGCTGGTACCATTCGCCCCAGGTTAGATAAGAGGAAACTAAAGCACAAAGAGGTTACCTTGCTTGTCTGAATTTACAGGGCTAGGAAGTGAGAAGGGAGGCAAGATTCTGCCTTCCTCTAGAGCCCAGACTGTTGACACCTATTCTCTGTTGGGCTGTCCAGTATGGCAGAATCCGCTAGCCGCTACCGTACTGTTTTGCATTTAAGTTTAAATTAATTAAAATGAAGAGAAATTAAATACCCACTTCCGCAGTTGTAATAGTCACATTCCAAGTGCTCAATAGCCATGGATGCCTATTGGCTATTACATCAGAGAGTGCAAATATGGAGCATTTTCACCCTTGTGGCAAGTTCTCCTGGACAGCCTGTAGTCTGACACTTCTCATTTATACATCTGGGCAAGGAGGAAGGTCACTGCCTCGCCTCACTGCCAAATCCATCACTAAAATAGCCCCAGATGCTTCTTTAGGAAAGTGTGACCCTGACTTGTCTTTCTTTTCTTGCTGCCAGCTCTCTCCAGTCTCCAGGAACGTGGCAGGAACCCTCGCCACTAAGACACACGGAAGGAATGAGGTCTGAGTACTAAGAATGTGCATCCTGACCTCCTCGCACACGCATTGGCCATCCAACAGGAAAACTGCAGTGAGTGAGGTCCCCAGCCGTAGCCCCAGGCAAAGGGACAGGTTCACTCAGCCTCAGCCTGGACCTCACTGGCTTTTCACAGGAATCAGAGTGCCCTCCTGGCCCCCAAGCCATGTTATGGCCAATTGTCGCTGGAAACAAGGCCTCTACCAGCTTCTGGGTGTTCAGAGGCCAAGGAAGGTCCAGTTTTCATAAAGCCCTGGATTTCTCTTGGCTTCTCTACACTCAGAGCTTGCGTCTGGAAAAGAAAGCTCATTCTCTGATCAGCTACCATGTGGTTTCTTTGTACAAATAAACTGCTGAAGGAATGTGCCCAGCACGTGGCCTTTTGGCCTCCGAGCAGTGTTTAGCCTGGGCTGTCCCTGCCCTCAGAACCACACTCCCCAAGGATATTGAGTTCCCTTCTCATGAATCTCGCGCTCTCAGGACCCGGCACAGAGGGTCTCTCTGCCTGCGCAGCCTCAGCCCCAGTTCACATCCTGTCCACTTCTAGCCCAAACACGGCCTCCTGACGCCACAGCTTTGCCTGTTGGCTTGGGTCCCACTCAGCCTGTTCTTCTGTGACCCCTCCCACTCCAGGGGCATGAGGCGAGGGGGCAGGCTCTGACTTCTGGCTGTCTGCCAGCTGATCTATCTTCAAGTAGAAATCAAGATGCCAAAGCTCTTCCTAAGCCAGTGTTGCGTGCACATTTCAAGCCCCATGCTGCATCCTGACCACGGTCTTCTCTTTTCCTTGGGTAGCGTCCCTCGCAGAGATGCTGGCTGCATCCTTTCCTCTAGGTTTGCTCCTTCATATCAGACTCACTGTCAGACGGAAGATTTCCAATGGACACATCCTCCCTCCAGCAAGCTTCTCAGGGAGGGACTCTTCCCATGGGACTCTAGTCTCCCTCTCTTCAACCAGGAGGTTGGCACGTGCGCTACCATTTGGACCTGCAAACAGTAGGCATTAGGGACCCTTTTCCAGTTTGATAATACACAGAAAGCAGACAAAGGCTTGTAGGAAGAACAGCAGAAAGAGGACAATATTGTGAAGAAATGTTGACTGGAAGAAGTATTTGCAAAACATTTGCTAAAGAGCTGCTGTCAGTCTACGTTCATAACGGGTCTATTAGTGTAAAAACTGCCCATGCGAACAGATAAGAGAAATTTCAATGAAAACTTTGAAAAACGGGCAGAATTTATGAAAAGGCAATTCTCACACGCATGCACAGGCACACACACAAGGTCACTGAAATGTCCAAAATGGAATATGTTCAATTTCACTGATAGGCGGGGAAATAAAATTTTAAGTAACTGTTAGAAGCCAGTTCTCACCCATTAGATGGGCAAAAGTTAAAAACAGTGATCGTTCCCAGTGCTGGCAGGATGTTTTGCCAAGAGCTGTGAAGGGTCTGGAATGTTATCTCCCTTGCACAAATTTTGTACTTTATATATGTGGATACTGCAGAAACACAAGGCCGTGGGTCAGGAGAAAGAGGTCTTTATTGATATGACCAAATTCATGGCCAGAGTAAATTGCAGTGTGGCTCTCTGACACACAGGCAATGCCATGAGTGCTGATAGAAATGCTCCCGTGAGTAACAGGTTTCACTCCATACACAAGGGATGGAAAAAAGGCATTTCACCTATTTGTACATGGGAGAGAGGCTGCCATACCCCTCCTCTCTGGAGAGGAGGGAGGAAAACCCTTGCTCCTTGGAGAAGGGATGGGAAGGATCCTGGATCCTCACTGGAACCTTTTGGAATGTAAAAACCTCTCTCCAAGGGCCAGCCAAGCCCAGCGTCTCAGGCCTTCACAACCACGAGATGTCTCCAAGGGCGGGACTTCTTCCCTTTTGAGATGTAAGTACCTAGGGAGAGAGCCGTCCAGTGTTCCTGGTACTTTGGAAGCTTACCTTAGGGATCTAGACCAAGTTATAATCCTTTGTCCCTCTTCGGGACATAAGAGAAATTTTATTACCCTTTCAGATTAGCAGAATTAACAAATGGTTACAGATCTAATTCTCACCGCGTGTGAAAAGCAAAATGTGCCTAGGAGAAATGACGGCCTTCTCTGTCTGTGCCACATACATTTCTCTGACTCAGGAGGCTATGGCTTTTTACAGGAGCACTGAAAAATCCAGAAAAGGTTGCGCTTTGCTGATAGAAACATGAATTGCTATAGCTCTTTGGGGAAGTAACCCAGCAAATCTATTCTGACCACACGCCTTAATACTCCAGAAAGCCCACTTTGTGCAATATAACAGATAGAAATGAAGCACAAGTTCAAAAAAATATACGGATAAGAATGCAAATTTTCAGGATTGATAGAATCGGCCACAAATGGAAAAAAATCAAAATGCCTATCAATAGGAAATGTAGTCTCAGCTGTTGAAAGAGTCATACTATGAACTATAATGTTGTGGGGCTTTTTAATGTTTATTCTATGTCTTGACCTGGAAGAATTTCCATTACATACTTAAAGGAGAAAGGCAGAATGCAAGAGATAGATAAAATACGCATTTTGTAAAAAAATGAAAAACGCACACATGTAAATGAAATATACGTACATGATTATGCAACGATGGAGAAAGATGGGGAAAGACAGACTTTCAATATTAATTGCCTTTGGGAGAGTGGGGATGGGAAAGGGAGGAGGAAGGTAAAGTACAAATGCAACAAAAAATAAAAATATGCATAGCTCAATATCAATGGAAAATTTAGCATATAAAATTCAGTGATTTACTTACTATAAGGACATACAAATTGGATCTGCTCATGGCCAAGCGCTAGAATAGGATAGGAACAAGTGGATATATTTTATTTGGGGAACTCAGATTTATGCATTCACTCAACAAATATATTGAACGTCTACTCTGTGCCAGGCACTGCTCTTGTCCCTAGGGACACAGTGCTTGACAATATCCTTGAAGTCATGGGGTTTACTCTCTAGAGGGGAAGATAGACAGTGACTTATGGTCAAAAATAAATGCATCAGAAAATGTCAGGCGGGCAATAGGGCTACGATGAAAAATGAAACAGGAGAAGGACCAGAGTGATGGGGTCGCTGTTTTCAACAGGGTGAGCAGGAATGGCTGCTCTCTGCCTGAGCAGGGGCCTGAAGAAAGTAGAGAAGCCAGAGCTGCTGTCTCTTCCCCCCTGGGAAGCATCATTCAGCTCTCAGCCTCTCCTTTCATAGCTTATTTCTGAGCCCTTTCTTGGAGGATCCCGTTAGTAGAGCCCCAAACCAAACACAGCACTCTTCTGCATGGTCTGTCTAGCAGGGGGTGGAGGCAGGGAGGACGTCCCTCCCTTTCCCTGGAAACATACACCATGTCACATGGAGCACGACATTGTCCTGGAGGCAGTCAGATGGCAGAGTGGCAAGTCTGCAATCCGGGGTCAAGCATTCCAGATGCAACTCCTGGTCCTCCGACTTACTAGCTGCATGACCTTGAGCAAGTTATTTGACCTCTCTGTGACCTTATCCATAAAATGGGGGAGCAGAACCCTACCCACCCCCACAGAGATAATACATTTTAAAGACTTAAATAGCACCTCAAACATAAGAGCTAAGAAAAAAATAGCTCTCAATGTTATTGCTATTACTACTTGTTATTGCTACTGCTGCTAACCTAAGGGTCAGCCCTCTTAGCGTTGACTCATGTTGAACTTGTAGAATTTTGAGGGCCTGGTTAGAGCTTACAGACTGTCACACCTCTTCTCTTAGAACTTACCTCCTACTGGCAGGGAGGGAGGGGGAAGAGGTGAAGACAGGAATGAGACACCACTGCTTTGAATGTTGGAGTCTGGGCAGGCCTCTCCGAGGAGGCGATGTTTGAGCTGAACAAAGTAGGCAGACAAAATGTTTCATGATTAAGAACATGAGTTTGTATAAAAAAATATGTACCCAACTTGAAGATGCTTTAGGATTCACTCCTAACAAATCAATGGAAAATTTTCCTACCTGTGGAATATTTGTCATATGATAAATAAAATAATTTGTTTGTGTTAATGTCCTTTTTTAATGTTTTTCTGTTATCGAAAATATCAACATCAAGGGCCAGCCCTGGTGGCCTAGTGGTTAAGTTCGGTGCATTCTGCTTCAGCGGCCCAAGTTCAGTTCCCGGGAGCAGACCTACACCACTCTTCTGTCAGTGGTCACGCTGTGGCAGCAGCTCACATACAAAATAGAGGAAGATTGGCAAAAGATGTTAGCTCAGGGCAACTCTTCCTCAGCAAAAAAACAAAAACAAAAACAACTTCAATATTTTGTATGTACTCACAAAATAATGTTGCAGATGATAAAAATATCAGAAATCATTTTTGTATGTTATTGAAATATATAATCTCATCATAACACATTGGTTCATAATTAAGACTTGCTTTTTTTATGATGTCAGAATTTTTAAGCAGAAAAATCTCTGGAACTTTTGGTATAACCCTATCATAGAAAACTGATTCCATGTTTATTATTATGGTCACTCATTATCACTTTAAAACAAGCAAATTTTTGAAAAATTTATTTTTTAGATTTTTGAAAACTGTGACTTATGATCTGGAGAATTGCCAAGAATTCCAAGAAACTCTCACTTAGGGTTCTTAAGTCCCTAAGATAACTATCAGGAATTTGGAATATCTGTCATTACTTTCTAGTACAAGGAGAAAGACAATAACATATGGAAAAAATGACTACATAAAATATCAAGTAGTGTTAAGTGCTTTGAAGAAAAATGAAGCAGGATAGGGGGCTAGAGAGAGGTGAAGAGTGGCTGTTTAAGTAGGGTGGTCAGCAATGACAAAAACAAACACATACAGACAAAAAAAACGGCATGAAGAACTCATACAACTCAACAACAAAAAAGCCAAACAACCCAATTAAAAAATGGGCAGAAGATCTGAACAGACATTTTTCCAAAGAAGATATACAGATGGCCAACAGGCACATGAAAAGATGTTCAACATCACCGCTTATTAGGGAAATGCAAATCAAAACCACAATGAGATTTCACCTCATGCCAGTCAGAATGGCTATTATTAAAAAGACAAGAAATAGCAAGTGTTGGCGAGGATGTGGAGAACAGGGAACCCTCATACACTGCTGGTGGGAATGTAAATTGGTGCAGCCACTATGGAAAGCAGTATGGAGATTTCTCAAAAAATTAAGAATAGAAATACCATATGATCCAGCTATTCTACTTCTGGATATTTATCCAAAGTACATGAAAACATTAATTGAAAAAGATATGTGCACCACTATATTCATTGCAGCATTACTCACAGTGGCCAAGACTTGGAAACAACCTAAGTGCCCATCAATGGATAAATGGATATAGAAGATATGGTATATTTACACAACAGAATACTATTCAGCCATAAAAAAGGTGAAATCTTTCCATTTGTGACACCGTGGATGGACTTTAAGGGTATTATACTAAGCAAGATCAGTCAAACAGAGAAAGACAAATACTGTATGACTTCATTCATATGTGGAAGATAAAAAACAACAACAAACACATAGACACAGAAAATAGATTGGTGGTTACCAGAGAGGAAGAGAGGAGAAGGGAGGGCAAAAGGGTAAAGGAGCACATGTGCTCGGTGACAGATGGCAACTAGACTTTTGGTCGTGAACACAATGTAGTCTTACACAAAAGTTGAAATATGATGTACACCTAAAATTTATATAATGTTATAAACCAATGTGACGCCCATAAAAAATTAATTAATTTAAAAAAAAGAAAATAGAGA